CTTCACTCATTCTATTACTATTATCCCGTGCGTGTTTCGTTCAATCGCGCGTGCAATTTAATAATGAAATCGTGCACGAGTTTACATTTCATATTAAATTTACGCGTGAACGAACCACATGCACGTAACACACCAAGACAGACGTTTACGCGGTAATACCAGGGTGTGAGCTCTCTTGTCCATGGAGTCATTACCAGGATGATAAGGATTAACCGGGAGAATGAGGCTTGCGGTCAAGAGAGTTCCTGTCACGTAGAAAGACTCATGATGGTACGGTTTCTATGTTGGGTTCTTGGTAATGGTTGTTCAAGGGTGTGAACGGTTAGACCAAGAGTGAAAGGGAGACAAGAGGAAAAGGAAGGGTCTCAAGGTGTGACAGGGAGAGAGCGGTTAACCTGGCATGCGATTCCAAGGGTGTGAACGGTGAGACCAAGAGTGAAAGGGAGACAAGAGGAAAAGGAAGGGTCTCAAGCTTAAAAGTGCAAAAAGTAAGTTAACGCACGTTTTTGCGCTTATAATTTGGGCTTTTGTTCATTCACCCGGGCTAACATTACGCACGCGTGCATTCATTACATTCATTTACCGTGCGAATAAAGGCCCGGGATACATTATAAAGAGTGTGAAGAGAGCGCTAATAATAGAGTTACAAGTGAACGAAGTTATGAGTGAGCGCGTGAACTATATTATTATGCGAACGAAACCCGGGGCTAATAATAATACTACTACTTAGCCCCGGAATTATTATAATAATATTGTATTCTGCGGGCACATATAATATTAGTATTAGCCCGCGCGTATTATTATATTATTACGAAGTGAATAAAATGAGCGTGATTTTGCAAGAAACGAAAGAGCCGCGCGAAAATAAGCGAAATTATGAACGTAGTGTGTGGAGAGAATCCTAAAGGTAACAAAGAATCCTGGTAATCGAGGGAGATGTCGTAAGTTGTCTTTATGAGATTGGTTTACACGGGCTAGTTATTATTATGTAGACGCCCGTGTGCACCCTTAATAGAATGAGAGAAAAGGGAAGTGAATATACGGGCGTGAATATAATAAACTAATAACCGCCCGTAATAATAAGCTAATGAACACAGTGAGTGAACTAAATTATAAACTTGTGCATGAATTTAGTGAATGAGCGTGTGAGTGCAACAGTAATACTAATATGAATACAATTAATGCGGCCTCATAATATCTTCCCTTTTGGCCGCATGTGTTACGTTCTCTCCCTTTAATCATAATTCGCGCATACACTGCGTTCCTTTGCAATTATTATTAAATTGAGTTCTCTTCACCATTATAATATTATATTTACTGCCTGGGGAAGAACGCAGAGAATGAGGCACGAAGGTAACACAACAGCCCAGGTTGGTACTAACTTAGTGAGTGAATCCAACATCTGGGTTCGTTCGTACAATTCTTTGCTTTCATGCGTTCCTTATAAAGCCTGCGAATTAGTACTCTCTTCGTATTATAAGCTGTGTCCTGTCCATCTGTTCCCGAAAGTTGTTCATGATTCTAATATCTTCTTGGGAACGGTCAACATGGGGTTTTTGTTCACCGAGGTTTGATTTCAAGGACTTTGAGGTGTGTTAATGGTGGTCTTTTAGGAGATTCCAAGGGTGTGAACGGTTAGACCAAGATATGAGAGTTCGGGTCTCAAGGGCGGATTCATGGGCAAGACTGACAGGTGGGATGGATTCCAGGGTCTTTTCACGAGTCTTGGTGATGGCGTCCGTGAGTGATTGGTTAACCGGCTTTTGTGGGGCTTTGAGTGACCGCCACGTAAAAAGACTTATTGTTGGGGCGTTATGTCGTCTTTTGGTCACCGCCAGGCCCTAAACCTTAAACCCTATCGGGCCACAAACTCAAAAGCCACGAGGATGGTCAGGCCTCCAGCGCGAAATGGCTGCGGTTTCAAAAGCTGCGGCTCAGCTGCAAGAGCCCTTTAGGGTTTAGATGGTCCATGCGCTGTAATGTTTGGTACTTGGGGGAGGGGTGGCATAGAGGACACATCGAACCCGAGGGTTGCTTGTGATTGGGATCAACCTCGAAGCCTAACCAACCACAGGGTAGTTTTTGCTCACGCCGTTGTTAGCGGCCTTGGGTAAAACGTTAGTTTTCGCACTTCTTGGTGACTTGTTCCGGTTGTCTTGTTGGGGTGGGGGGGGGTGGGGATAAGAACGTCATTCATATTGCGTCCATGCACAAAACACTGGTAGTTACAGCATTTTCGGCTTTTTGTACAACATACTGCACAAGGATGTGGAACAAGAAAACTTGTCACAAGCGTCCATGCCTTTCGCGACCAAAACCGTGCTTTCCGTGCTAACGTCTCTGCGCAACCCCAAAGCCCTGAACTTGAAGCACTGCAAGCCCGTTGCACCCTGAACACTCCAGCATCCAAAAAACATGCGAAATGCAGGAAACACTGGCGGGCGTGGCACTTCTCAAGATAAGACCACATTGCAGTTGCCTCGTTCCACCCTGAACAGTGACAAAACACAAAACCCATAAAAACGCGCAAAAGTCGCGAAAAATGCATCCCCACAGTAAGCACTGCGAAATGCTGAAAACACTGGCGGCGTGGTACTTTTGGCAACACACCACCTTATAATCACTCCAAGAACTGAAAAATAACTTCCGCCGACAAAACCTTCTTTTGTTCTCGAACACTGCCCTGCGTGGGTTAAAACCACATTTCCGCGCGCAAACGGTCCAGGGCCGCTAACAGCGGCTGACCTAGTTTTTAAGGTGCGCTACAAAAATGTGACTTCGAGAACTACAGCAGCAGCGCACGCAGTGAAACAAGTTGTATACAGGGGCACCTGATCTCGGTGCCAACACATGCATTATAGGCACTTTACGAAGCTTAACCTGCAAGAACTTACTCTAGAGACCCCAAAAGGGCCCATCATTTTGAACAAGCGCCACATTTGATTTCCGAAGTGTGTCGTGACAAGATTCTGAGACGAAATGTTGATTAAGTGGCCTGTCGTGTGTGCAAAGCTTGAGAACTTCGTTTCGGGTTTGTTCATGCCGTCATGCCTACTAAACCCCTGACACGACCTGCAAAGACCAACCGACTTGCTGCCAAGGAGCCCTGAAAGTCATTTCGTCATTCTCCAAGAGGAGAGGGGTTTGAGACGAACAGTGAGGGTGCGAAGTGCATCTTCTGTGTTTCAGCAAAGTGCGGCTGTGTCACTTTGCGCGGGACCCTCCTTTCCGCACAACGACTGCCTGTGCATTCAGAGTCAAAAGAAACCGAGTGATTCTGTGTGCAATCTATATTCTGACTCGCGGGTGTATTCTTGCTGCATTTAGATGCATGGGTATGTTGAATCTCCTACATGATTGTACTGTCATCTGTCAAATCATGTCGGGTCTGTGTTGGGATTAGCTCAGCTCCATTGCAACCCTCCTGGGCCGCTTGCAGTGCGCGGAGAAAGCGTGTCTTCCCATCTCTACGCCTGGGAGCAGAAGATCCAACACAAATGTGTTGCGGGCACCTTGGTGCGATTCCTGAACATGAGAGCCATGACTGGAGAAAAGTGGGAACGCTACGGAAGGAAGAAGCAATGGAGCACATGGCTGGTGAAGTGTGCAAAATGCCTGGGCGCTTGTCTGGACATCATTCCGTAGTCACAAGCACTTGTGTTATATAGTGGCGGGAATTCGTGGAAAAGTTTTCTGCAGCTGTTTTTTATCCTGAGTGGCTGGAGCTTTTGCACCATACAACAGTGTATAGTCCAGAAACATCAGAGAGGAGCTTGTATGAGCCTCAACGATTTCTTGTTGGGAAGATTAGGAACGTATGTATGATACAAATGCAAACTGGTTCGAGCACCCTATGGTAGTATGAAAACTTAATCTTGAAGATCCTCTTACATGTCTTGTAACGCACAGAGTACAAGTGGCGGTAAAGCACTATGTCCTGTGAGCGGGTGCAGGAGCAAGGGTTTGTTGGAAGCAACGGCTTGCAACACGCTTCCCGGAATTGGAGAGAATGTACTCTACCCGTTTTGCAAGGCGAACTTGGGAATTTGCAGGTAGAATTTAAAGCTACAACGTCCAATTCTGTCCAATCCTGTGAACCTCCATTGAAGCGCAAAAAGACGAGGCCAAGAAGATTATTCTTCACGCCCTATGTAAGGCGTAGCGCCCCACGAGCCCCTCTTCATCAGAAAGTCCTGTCATTAAAACCTGACTCACCGACATGCAAGGAACAAGGAAAACGGCATTGTCATGCGGCATTGTCTGCTGACATAATTGTCTCGTTTTAAGGCAGCAGCAGGCGCCCTCAAAATTTGAAGTTCTGCTGCGTGCAAAATGCGATTGGTGTTGTTGTAGCAAATAGAATTATTATGTGCAGACTATTTTGTGCATGTACTTCTTCGTTGTTCCCGCGGGCCCTTTTTCAAGATGTCGAATGACATGCGTATCTCGATTCTTAATTCAGTTTGCTCATCAGTGCTTTCATCCACTTGACGGTGGAGCTTGCAAGTTTGAAGAGGGTGATTGAAAGAAATACCGTAACCAATGCGGATGTGACACTTGGTTTCCGCGCTTGTTCGAAGGGTCGTTTTGAGTTCTTGTGATGATGACGGAAGGTTGGTCAGCAGTGCATCTTGTAATGGAAGAGAGGTTAACGACCTGTTCATAAGTTGACCCATGTTTGATGTAGTAGCATGGAATGATTTAGCATTGGCCGTCCGAAACCACCGTAGCACCAGCCGGTGGAAAGCAAGAAATTGTTGTTTTCGAGAAGTAGACAGCTTCCAGGAACCGAAGATCGTTCTTTTGCCATACAGGCAAAACCTGCCTGCAAATCCCAGTTGTTTTGAAAATATGACTTTCATGTCCATTTCATGTCGTTGATGCGTGTCAGGTGTTGTTGTGATTCAACATGGATCGCGCTGCACGGGGCTTAGACTCAATTGCAGAAGCATGTTGACTCGCATGCAGTTGCTACGCTATAAGAATTCTTGTATGAGGCCATGCAGCAGGAGTACCTCCGACGGAGAAAGCTGAACACATACGAGGCAAGCGCCTGGGGTTTGTCGCAGGCTTGTGGTGTGATATCGAGATGCTTCCGACAGGAACGTCGAAAAGAAGGGCGAACTGTTCACACCAGAGCTTCGCGCACAGCCATCATTGTTGGTTCTTTGAGCTTGTCCCGGGCTAAACATGGGCGAGTGTTTTGGTGAAACATGTTTCCGTGGGTGTCTTGTTTGAAGGATCTTTAATATCATGGCCATTGCCTTGCCGAACTGGCGATCTAGTTGGGCACAGCGCTTATACATGCGCCCAGGGTTCTTGCAGCATGCCTTTGTGCCTGGCATGTTCAGATCAACTTTGTGGTATGACATCCTCACATCATATCCAAGGTTGGGCTCATCGGATATGGTACCAGGAGGCTCATTTATACTGGCTTCAGTTCATTCGCATCTTGGGATTTGAGCGTGAGCCGAACCACTGTACCATCGAGGAACTGGGGTTTGCTATATGTTCAAGGGCGAACGTCGAGCCCTCAGGTTTCAATCTTTAGGTCGATGTTCGCTCTTTTGTGGTAGGTTTACCTTGGGGCCTGCCATCAGGACTACCTTTCACCATACCATGTATGACAACAACTGCTTCTGGGAATGCAATTAGTCGCAGAGGCAGAGTAGCAAAGATAAGGCATTTCCAAGCAGTGCGAGTTGTCGTCAGATAGCAAGGCAAGTGGTATGGTCATTTGATGCTTGGCAACTCCTGTCTCTCGCCTATTTGCAGATGGTCAGCTCCTTGGCAGATGCGAATGTTTCTTCTGTATCTTGCGCATGGTGCAAAGCAGGTACCTTTTAAAGTGCAACGTGTACTTCGAGCTGTGCATGATCAGCTACGGCAGCTCAGCACAACTGAGTTGCTTTGTGGGCGTCATAGCATCTTCTGCACCAGATGAATCTTTACGCAAGAACGGTGGGATGGACATTGGGACAACAGTGGCTTGAACAACTTTGGACTAGTCGTATCTGTTGGAGATATGCGGCTGATCCTTCACATCTTGAAAGACCCAGAGCAAGGTGCAGCCCTGGGCATGATCCTTGGGACGATACTGGAATCGCAGATCGCTGAGAGTGGTGGGACTTTTGGGAACACCACTTTTGAATCACCTTGTGCGTTCTTGTGGCCTTGTGGTCCCTTTTGTGGTCCTCGGTTTGACAAGGCTGTGTCTGTACTGGACTGTGGCCTTCACAACCCGTACGTTGAGATGGGCAGCAAACTGGTGGCCAGCACTTGCCTCTGCCTTCTTCCGTGGAATGTTCTTTGAGCCTTGCCAAGGCCTTTTTCAGGCCTTAAGCACACCGAATAAAAGCTGTGTGCGGCTCAGGTTGCTGCGATGATGAACATTGCGGGTGCAGTCGTTTGGATCATCCTGACGGAGGCCTCTGCCTTCCGGGCCTTCCGCGCAGTTTGCACGTTGCTGTTGCACGTTGCTGTTGCACGTTGCTTTTTGGACTCAGAACATCTTCGAAGAGCTTAATGAAGAATCATGGTATCCTGTTCCGCCACCTGGGCCGTGGCCTCGAGCACAGTGCCAGAAGTCATGATTCACTTTACGTTGGCTGAACATCGTGGACGCTGAGTAGGGACTTGCAAATTTGACAATTTGTCTCAGGATGTCGTTTATACTTGCCATTGTCAGCGCTGTGGGTATGCTGGCTGGGAACGCGGTTTTGCACGCTCCAAAGCAGCCCTGCAGCCGAGGGCTGTTGTGCCCAGGTCAACGCGTACCTTGGGTACACCCTGCACTACATGTGGCCGGAGGCTGTGTGTGCAGCTGTAGGGCAAGCGTGTAGCAGGTGTGAGCCTCCATGAGATGCTTGCTGCCAGGTAGATCCGGATGATGAGAGCCAGTTCGATTCCGAGGAAGAGACAAACGATGAGGAGGACGAGCAGTAGGTCCAGTTGCAAGCTGTTTCGGCCATTCCATGTCTGAAGATGCCAACTGCATCAGCAGTGTTTGGCATTTTTCTAGGACATGGATGCCGATGATCAGAAGCAGGCCTGAGATCAGTGTGTCGGAGGGCGTGGGCTTAGCAATGGGCCCCATGCCCGTGGCAAATTCCAAGTGCCACATGGTGGGCGCGCACCTGCATCTGAGTAGAGGGACCTGTTGTGGTACGAATGGCAGAATGCACAACGAGTGAAGTTTTTCGAGCGCGATTTGTTTCATGAACTGCTTTTTGATGTATGGAGATGTGTGAAAATGACACTTGTGTCAGATTGTTGGCTTCAGCGGAAGCGCAACAGCAGCCTCTTGAGCTGTCCAGAGCATGTGATATCGACCGCACTGCAGGGTGACTATTACGGCTACGGCGGCTATGCTCCAAGTGCCGGTGATGGCCCAATTACATCCCATCATGCAACAATGACTAACGACTAGCAACGTTCCAGTGTGGTTCTGGGCTGAAGGTGGCATGCCTGTTTCAGCCTCAGCCTTCTGTCTCTTGCGGTCCTGTGACGGCCATACCGCCGCGTCAGGCACAACAGGTGCAGGCCGTGCAAGCACCGCAAGCACCGCAAGCACCTGCATCACAGCCTGCCACGCAGGAGCGTCGAGCTCTCAGACCGGAAATCTTTTGTGGTACTGTTGCCAGCTCTTGTAGACCCTTGCAGACTCTTGCAGAATTCATGCGTACGTCCATCGCTTGATGTTTCGTGACAGGGATCAAGCAGGTGCGTACAGAGCTGTTAGGTCGCAATGGCAGTCGGCAAGAACAAACGCCTCACCAAAGGAGGCAAGAAAGGTGGCAAGAAAAAAGCCGGTGACCCGTTCCTGAGGAAGGAGTGGTATGACATCAAGGTGTCTTGACAGGATATATTGGTCCTCTCTTTTTGGCAAATCTTTTGGTTTTAGTTATGGAGATGTTCTTCCAAGTTTCGCCCAGGCCCCAAGCATGTTCAGCGTGCGGCAATGTGGCAAGACATTGGTGTCCAGGACACAGGGGACAAAGATCGCCACTGAAGAGCTGAAGGGCCGGGTGCTTGAGGTGAACTTGGCGGATCTGAACAACGACGAGGACCAGGCTTCCAAGAAGGTGCGCCTCTGCATCGAGGAGGTTCAGGGCCGAAGTTGCCTCACGGACTTTCACGGCATGACCTTGACAAGGGACAAGATCTGCTCCCTGATCAAGAAATGGCAGACGCTGATAGAAGCACAGGTGGATGTCAAGACGACTGACAACTACGTCGTCCGCATGTTCTGCATAGCCTTCACAAAGCGCCGACCAGAACAGGTGAAGTCTAACTGCTACGCGCAGTCTGCGCAGATTCGCAAGATTCGCCGCAAGATGGTCGAGATTATGACGCAGGAGGCAGGCAAGGTCCAGTTGCGGGAGCTAGTCAAGAAACTCATTCCGGAATCCATCGGCAAGGAGATTGAGAAGCAGACACAGGGCATCTTCCCGTTGAAGGATTGCCTGATCCGGAAGGTGAAGATCATGAAGAAGCCAAAGTTCGACATCACGAAGTTAATGGAGCTTCACGGGGACGGTGGCGATGATGTCGGTGTGGAGATGGTGCGTCCAGAGGCGGAGGATGCAATGAACACTTTGACGGCCGACGTGGCAGCTGCTGATGACGATTGAGCTTGAGCCAGGAGTTTGGTGACAGATCTTAGCTGGCCTGTACGCCCGGAGCGACAAAGTGGTGTCCTGTCAGAGCCAATGTTGAAGTACCTCCGATTTGCAGTGCACAAGCTCAGAACAGCGAGTACTGAAGAACACTACTGCTTGTGACATGCGCTTCCCACTTGCTTTGCTATTCCTGCCTCAAGGTCAGTGGGTCTACAAGGATTCCCAAGGTCAGGTGCAGGGGCCGTTCCCTGCATCTCAAATGAAATCCTGGCTTTCACCTGAGGTGTGTAGGACTTGCTTGGTGCGTACATGTTTGTGTGTGTCTTTGTGTCCCTCTCGAGGCATGACCAAGGCTTCCTGGGTGACATTCAGATTAGAGCCTCAGATGTATGTTGATTGCATTTCGCTCCATAGCAGGTCTCTGATGTTTCGGTGCCATGTAATGCCTTGGTTTCTTGTGCCCAGGAGCCACTGACGAAGAGGAGTTCTCTCCCATTGGAGACGGCTCTCGATTCACGTAGAATGGCAAGGCTCTCAATCATGACCCTCTGTGGTGTTCTCCTCCTGCTGAGGGCCGCTCAACTTGGCTGTTACGTGCAAGGCAAGTCAGAAAGGTTGAGCTGTGTTTTCTTTCCAGGTATGTGCTCTTCTTCTGAGCAGCCCACAGCCATGAGCCAGTACATCTGCGAAGCATGACTCGCCAAAACATCTACGGTCGACGGTTGCAGCATGCGCTTGTGCTCTGTCCCAAACAAATCCGAGAGTGCTTGTGATCACTGTGTAGCCGTCTAGCTGTTGTAACCGTTGTGGCAGTGGACCGTTGTAGAAGGTCGTACGAGAGGACGTCGCGTTCATATGAGACTTCTGAGATGACAAAAGTTGAGAGACACAGAAACACCGTTAGAGTACGGTAGGATGGGTGGAATGTGTTTGAGTGCATTGAGGCGCGCAGCATATCTGATTCGGTAACGAGGAGAGGTGCCTGATGGCAGCGCCCTCACGCCATGGCGTCGCTGCGATCAAGCAAGTGGGATTTTCTGGAGGCCTGGGAAACGATCTAGCTTGTCGTGCCTGGATGAATGTAGGCGTGGCCCTCAAAAGCTAGCGCTCCCTGTTTGGAAATTGGGCAAGAAGTGGTACCTCAACGCTTGCAGTTGAGTTCAGGACCTCGCTCGCTTCACAATAACTTTCGTTTAGATTGCATCCTTCGGCTGTGGGCGCTGTAGAAGAACTTGGGACACGACAAGTGAATAGGCTCTCCAACCTGTCCCATCCGAGTGTAATTAGTCGATTCCCATGGCTGGTACACGCTGGACTGCATACTAGGATGACCCGGATCTCGATGGGGAAGATTCTGCCTTTCTTGATGCCAGTGAATTGCGGGAGAAGGCATGATGGGCATCGCGTCGTGTCTCGCTTTTTGACTCATGTTGTGGCAAATTTATAAAGCCGAGGCGAATGCACTGACCCACCATGCACACCATGAGCAGGCAGGGGACAAAGATAGATTCAGATAGATGTCTTGTTGGCCTTTTGTCCGTGCGCTTGTCATCGACAAGGATCCGTGGCAGCGGCAGCAGCATCTTTCCGAGGAGTCCCGCTGGTGCTAACACAGGGGGCGCACAGGCTCCTTTTCTGCTGCAGGCGCTGGGCATGTACCGCAGAGCTGATGACCTGCTGAAGGGCCGCCTTGAGGACACGTTGCACTTGATGCATGTTCCTGTGTTTTAAAATGTTTGTTTTGACGTATGAGCTATCTGCCTCTGTGCTGTGGTCGTCTGCTCAGGCATGCAGAGAAAAAGGATTGGCGCTGCAGTGCCGCCTCAATGCAGCGTGCCTTGCTTTGCAGGCGCCGAGCTCCAGAGAGTCTCCGCTAGAATCTTCGTTTCCGATCACTGTGGCTATTGCAAATCTCGTGCTTTTAGGCTTCCATTCTTAGTTGCATTTGTACTCTTACCAAGATGAGTATTCGTTTCAATCCACTCATGGAAGTCACCTGAATAAGTCATCGGACTTCTCAAAGACCTGGTGAAAACACATCAGTGTGAGAAGCTGTGGTCAATCTAGGTTTCTTCGTATCCTCTCCTCCTGAGCGAGGCTGTTCATTGAAAAAACCCGAGGTCTGATGTGCTTGGAGCTTGCCATCGCTTGGTTTAGCAAAGTTGGACAGGAAGGTGAGAGAAGGTGAGGCTCTTTTCCGCAGCACCCCCCCCCAGGTTTCAGCGCTTTCGCAGCAATCGGGAGAGCGGCAGCAGGCCTGACAGAGTCCTGATGGATCCGACGGTTTTTTTTTGCGCGTTGTGCTTTCAAAGGCAGAAGCGGTTGCACACCGCTTCGCAAATGCAGCCTTGGAGCTTGATCCAGAAAACCCTCATGCTGCAGCCTCAGATGCTCAAATCTTCATGCCGCTCTCTTTGTTTTGTCTTCGCAACATCGCGGCTGGACGCGTTCTGCAAAGCTTGCCATTGGAGTGTTGGAGCTTTCGCATTCGGGGTTTTAGAAGGGTGCGCGGAAGCCATGCTCGTGATAAAAAGTGGCCAGTCGCAGTGTCCGGTTTCGAGTCTCCCATCAGGGGCGCCTGTCCTTACCTGTCCTTACCGTCGTCTGAAGGTTGGAGTTGGCTTGCGATTGCGATTGGGGAGTTGAGTTGAGGTTAGAGGGAACGCTGGGTTTTAGTGTGTGAAACAAATGAACATGCATGTTTGCATAGTGTCTTGCAATGTCTTGCACATGGGTGCCGATGCTCCAAGCTCTGAAACATGAGAGCATCTGCATCCAACTGCTTCTTCTGGACTGTTGAGGACTGTTCTCCTTCACAAGCCCTTCCAAGCTTCATAGATCAAGTTTCCATCCATCAACCTGACCAAGGCCTTGCTGGTCCTCGCACGCCTGGCAGCTGGCAGCCGGAAGTCTTTGGCAGAGTGACTTGCCCAGCCTTGGTTGAGGGCTGGGCTGACAGTTAGGAGAGGAGTTTTTCAAGCGAGGAGCCATGAACGAGGCAGTATCTGCGAAAGGCTCGGATGTGGGCTCAGAAGCGAAAAGATGAGGACTGGTCGATCCGTTCTGTCTGTTGCGTGGTGATGTTTCTGGCATTTTGTTGCGTGTTTTGGAGCAGGATGCAGCTGCACAAGCGACGGAGTTGGAAAGGAGCTTGCAGACAGAAGCGCAGTTGCAGGTCGGCATTTTACTTTCTGCTGCAGTCGACGGCGGTGTGAGCTGCATACAGAAAGGGAGTAGTCGTTCCGAAGCTGCGCAAGCGCCAGCAGCAAGAGCAGCTTCACGTACAGATGCTGGCATACTGCTTGCTGTGTCATTCATCGGCAGAATCATGTCTGTAATCACCGACAAGCACGGTCTTAGGAGTGGCAGAGATACTGCCACAAGACATTCACGAATCCACACCAATGCAGGTCTTGTGCCAAGTCCACACTGAAATGACTGAGATGAATGGGATTCGGATCCGCCAGTATGGCTTTTGTAAAAACCATTTCACCATTCAGTCTGTCCATGTCTTGCGTCGTCGAACTGAAATTTATGAGCGCCAAACCTCTTCTTTTCACGCATTCTGTTAAGATTGGTCAAAAGCCTTTGACTCCGCTACCTCACCTTTGCCGCCAGCTCCTCGACCTTACACTGTATGTGTGTACCTGGACGCAATTCTACCTTCATAGTTAGGTCGAGGCTCCGGATGAAAATCTAAAATTTCAGACCCAAACCAAAGGCCTCAGGCAGGGATGCCCCCTCTCGCCTTATCTTTTGTCTTTTGTCCTCAAAGTTCCTTGCGCCCCCTCTTAGGGCACTCGGCCCTCCCTCATGGACGTTGCAGGTGTACCGAAGTACTCAGTTTATTCTCAGCTTGCATCTCCTTCCAGCTTTAGTCCCAGAGACGGCTCAAGCTCCTCGAGTATATTCTTGACAGCCGGAATCCCTCGAACAGCAATGTGAATTTTTTTCCGCCCCTGCTTGCCATAGAACTTTTGGTTCCAATAGGGTAGGCCCACCTCGCGCTCACAGGGCAGAATCGTGCCACCAAAGATGGCAGTATATGCAATCCGACTCTCTTCCAACTTACACACTCGAGCACTGCCTTGGTTGGAATGGACAATACATGGTTAGACAGACTGATTCTCGCTCTCGCGCAGTTGGTTGCCAGCTTCAGGTTGGTTCGCCATTGGTTTGGGTGCAGAAGGGCACAGAACTCTTCAAGCGAGGCGAAATACCGGAGGCGTCGTTGGACGAGTTGAAGAAAGTTGGAACTGCTCTGTGGCGGCATTGGCGACGGTCTGCTGCCAGGCTGAGCGCCTCTTGAAGGAGGCGGTTGACTACATGGACCAGCAGGACAGGGCATGCCTGCCTGTCAACCCAATACTCATACAAATCTGAATCGTGCGATTCCCATTTCCTGGGCTTCGCGTGATTTCATTCATGTGCAGGTTAAAGAGCAAGTCATGACACGCAAAGCCTTGTCGAATAAGTTTTTTAAAGAGGACGGCGGTGGAGTCAGTAAGGCGGAGGCGGCGGCGGCGGCAGCAGCAGCAGCAGCAGCAGCAGGAGGAGCAGCAGCAGGAGGAGCAGCAGCAGCAGGAGGAGCAGCAGCAGCAGGAGCAGGAGGAGGAGCAGGAGGAGGAGCAGGAGGAGGAGGAGGAGGAGGAGGAGGAGGAGGAGGAGGAGGAGGAGGAGGAGGAGGCGGAGGAGGAGGAGGAGGAGGAGGATGAGGAGGAGGACGACGACGACGAGGAGGAGGAGGAGGCGGAGGAGGAGGAGGAGGAGGAGGAGGAGGAGGAGGAGGAGGAGGAGGAGGAGGAGGAGGAGGAGGAGGTTGAGGCGCAACAAAACCTGGAATGAAAGCCCCAGCAGCCCTTGCAGAGCCTGCGGGGTTTTAGTCACGACTTTCTTTTTCAGCTTTGGGCCATCGTGCTCTTTTCGATCGGTAGATCCGACTCACCGGCTTCTTCCTCCGTCGGGGATTGACACCCCCCTCACCTTAGGAACCCCCACCTTAGACTTAACACCAACCCAAGGCTTTGTGGCGTCATGTTGTGCAGGCACATGGTGGTCCAATAGAAGCACTGTCCGAACGACCCTCGCGTGCACTGGCGTTCGATGCGTTGGAGGTGCAAACCGCGTCGAACATGGCGATGCAAAGTTTCAGTTTGACTTCGCTCGAAGGCGTTGGCCGAGTGTCTGGCGGCCAGGAAAGACTTCGCAGGGAGCTGAGAGTACTGAGAGTACCGTCGCCTTGACAAAAGGTTGTGGGTTCAGAGCAGTTCCTGGCCCGAAGGAGGGCTCCCTCGAGTGCGGACAGCGAGCTGCTGGTCTGCTTGAAGTGGGAGCTTCACAGGCATCCAAGAGACCTTGCGAGTTCTGGCCGATTGCACTCATGGTCACATGGCATCATATGCCATATGCTTCAAACATGAGTAAGAAGGTGCCATTCGTGGAGCCCGAGCGCAGCAGGCCTTGCAAAGACCTTCCCGAACCTTCCTTTGTGCGGGGCTTGTTGACACCAAGGCGAGAGGGATTGCTCTTTTTGTCCTTGGGGCATGCTGCGGAAGCTGCCAGCAGCAAGGCCGGGAGAGGTTCAGTACAACAGCTCGCACATAACCATTATAGCATTGACTATATGGAACATGTAATGGTAGCCACACGCTTTGAGTTTTTCCTCCTAAACGTATTGCTAAGATGAGATCAAGCAGCGTGCGGAGATCATTTTAGTCCCGTGGCTTCGGTTTCGTCAGACTTTGCAAAAGTGGCAGGAGGCGCTCTCCTTCTTTCGCCGAGCAGCGCAAGCCTTCCAGAGGTCCCACGCATTCCCACGCTGTGAGTGCAGACTCCTTTCTGCCCTACTTCGAACCTTTAAACCTTTGGTTTCTCAAATGGACAGCGGGCAGGTCCGATTCGAGGCCGGCACTTGAAGGGACAGCCTTGCTCGAGTTTGGCCTTCGCTTGGTCCAGGCGCCCCTGTGCGGCAGCTGCCTGTAAACCGAGACTCCGTGTTGTCCATTCGCGGACTTTGAAAGGAGGTCGATGCTGGAGATCAACATTCTGCTGACTTAGCTTGCCTCCAAGCGCACAGTGGCGTGAAATGCTGTGACATGATGTGCAAGGGGAGTTTCTTGTGAATTCAGTGCTTAGGCCATGCCAACTCTCGAGCGTGCCCTCGAGAAGCTGAAGCTTGCACATGGGCAGCCGTGGCCTCACTGGGGTTCATTGATCAGCACGTAGTCGTCATGTGCAACACAGCAGTTATGACAGTGACAGTTGCGCCAAGGATGCTGAAGGGCACATCAGCTGACAATGCGGGAGCCGTCCTCAACGCCATGGTGTGGGTGACTTCCTTTCGTGCACAGACCTGAAATCCTAGAACGAGACATGTCAGGTTCTCAGAAGCAGCATGGCATGGCTGGATTCTCGTGTTCGCTTGGTTGGAGGAACTATCTCACTTCTGGTGGATATCTTTCTTGCGACGTGCGAGGCTTCTGAGCGACTTCTAAGGAGACAGCTTCAGTGCCAGGCAGGGGTGCTTACAGACGAATCAGCAAGTACGGAAACTGTACACATGAACCCTGTCTAGGTTTCAAGTAGTCAAGTAGTGGTCTTTTTGAGGGTCTCCCGGTTCTAAGTGTGCCAGCGGAAGTGAAGATTCCAAGCACAAGATGGGCGGTGGTTGTCGAGAAAATCTCAAGCTGCAAGAGCGCGCCCCAAAGCACTCAACAGAGGAATGCGGCTGCATTTTCAGAGCTAGAAACGATGGCCCGGTCAAAACGCTGACAGAAACCGCTTTGAAGACATCCCGTTTCTATGAGGTTGCATTCGGCGGCTCTCAGGGTTATGCATCTGCTCGCTAGCCTATCGTCGACCGAGCCTGATGACCCAGCTTGCATACACTAAACCTCGGTGTCGATTGTCGCTTTGTGAACATATGGCAAAGCAAAGTGATGTACCCCTAGTGCCCATGACTGCGAGGTGGCTGGTGACATTTGGTGACACTATTCTTATTTGTCACTTATTGGCTGAGTTTTTCTTGACTTGGAGGTGGCTTTGTGCTCGCTTCACTTGTCGATGGGAGATTCCACAGCTGCGGAGGCCAAGTCTGTTGAATTTGGAGTCGTCACAAGTTCAAAAATTCGAGTTCGGCTCTGCAGGAGGTGCTGAGTGCCTCTCGACATCTTCTTGAAGTTGAGTATGCCCGGCCCCTTGAGACTGGCGCATACCAAAGTCTTGGTTCTGCACGCCGTTAGGTCTTCAGGTTTTAATTCTTGTGTGCGAGGGTGAGACTCTGGATACCGGATACCCCTCACGGAGATTCCGTGCGTGCGTGAAGATCTGTTTGACCTTATATGTTGCCTAAATCAAAGCCCTTGTTTGGAGTCCCCACCGAAACAAGAAAAAAGCGACCGGACAGAATACACCCACAGCGGGGAATGCCCCGCCCCCTCCCCGTTGACCGCAGGCTGCGATCAAAAGGACATGTGCAACTCTTCATGTGTCGGGCGGGCTGGGCCTGAGAAAGCCATCTTTTGAAAGATGTCATGCGTTCCAAGGCGGGCTTGGCATATCTTCTCCAGGCCCCAGCAGGCGCTTGCCTTGGCGCCGCCATCCCCCACCCCCAAGGAGACAGCGCAAAGCAGCGGGCCAACAACAAGTTCCACCACCCAAAAACCTACAAGGAGCCCTGATTTTCGACAGCCTCCCCCCCATTGTTCAATCCATTGCTTGACATTCAATGAAGAACAAACAGATTTGAAACCACTTCGGCGAGTCTGGAAGTGGATCGAGTCCTCCACATCTTTTTTCGAGCTGTTTGGTGTACACCGTCAGAAGAGAAACAGGCTTGTCATCCAGTTTTTGGGTTTGATTACTTGTGAGCTAAACAGCGCGCAAATACACTCGGCTTTGTGTTTTGCTGCACATGCTTGTGTTCGCGGTAGCTTTTCTTGCGGCGATTTCGTATCCGAGCAAAAAGAACAGCCACTGGGTGCGTTGTGCATGTCGATGTTGCTAGCGGGAGGCACATGCCACAAGCCCGACAAGCCCCTATTAAATATTTGAAAGGACTGCACCCTTAACTTCTGGGCAGGAGATAAGTGTTTGGACAAACCCCAACCAAAATCAAGGGCTCGCCTCAGTTTTCCCATTCAGTTTGAGTGGGTCAGCCTAGCTTCACTTGTCCGCGTACAGTTTCAGCAGATGACGGCTTGTGGATATTTCCAATGCTGAAGACGGCTGCCTTTGTAAGGATGGCCCATCGCGGTTGGAGTGGGCCAGCTTGTGCGGCAAGTGGGCCTTCGCTGCAGCAAAGGCATCGCCAAGCTTGGGCTTGAATGACTTCGGCCAGCTCGACCTTGAAAGCGAAGGTGGGGCGACTGCAAGAGGCCGAAGACGCCTTGCGGACGAAATGGAAGCTAGCAGGCACCCTGCCATTTTCCCTGGTCGACAGTTCGTTTCGACTGATCGTCTAGCTGAGGTGGCAAAGATCCTGAGTGGGGCCAAGACGGTCCCGACATGCAGCTTCCGGACATGCTGGGGGGCCGTTTGCCTGTGCACGTCCTCAAAATCGGCCCCCCTCGCAGACTCTCCACAGAGCACCCTTGAAGGAAGGCTCATGTCCCCATCCAGACGGCCTACGTTTGCAGCAAGAGGCGTTGTACATGTTCTGTACACGTTGTGAGTACAGCCTCGCATTTGGCGCTCTAACTTTTGCATTCGAGTTTTTTTGTGCTCTGAGCAGAAACTCAGGCGCTGCAGAGCCTCGCACTGGTGCGGCAGAAGGTTCAAGATGCAGTGGGTGTGGAGGCTCAAACCTCCCCCATTTGCCCCCTTTCTCTCAGTGTCGTCATCCGTCACCCGGCTGGAGTGTTTACAAGAGCTTTGCAGCTGAGTGTTTGAGGATGCTATGTCCCGCCTTAGCCGGGCAACACCAGAAACCAGCAGGGGTGAAGTTCAGAAAGAGGCAGGTTACGCATGTTTCCGGCTTCAGTTCGGCCGTTCAATGTCAATTTGCCGTGTCCGAGATGCAGCATCACCTGCAGCGGCTTGCTGTGGATCCGCAAAGTCGAGACGCAGCATCAGCTCCTCACTTGAAGGTCAGGACGTCAGATGACTGACAACATCTGGTAGCCAGATAGGTTGTCTTTTTGGCCCGAACCTGTTGCCAGGCTGGAATGTCTTCCAGCAGAAGCGGCTTGCAAGTTTCCCTTTTGCAAGGGGGTGCCTCGGCAGAATCTCCAGGCTTCCGAGAAATATTTGGTTGCGTATGTTCGGCCCGGTGAGGTGCTTGCTTGGCAGCGTTGGCAGCTCTTGTAGCCGGCCTTTCTGTTGCCCAAATAGAGACGATGAACAGCATCGTCTGGCCTTTTCACATACATTCTTTTCAGACTCTACAGAATTGGAGCCTTGCCTTCAAGTAGCACAAAAGATACGGTTACCAATGCAATGGACATTGCTGTGACAGGAACTACCAAAGCTGTTCCCCGGTCCATGCTCATGCTCTGAGGATCTTGAAGAATGCGTGCAACAAAGTCCAAGCTTTTTGGCTTTCAGCCGCAGTTGCCGAAAGCATGCACCGAAGCAATGCTTCATATCCCAGCTTTCAACTTGCAAGATGCAACTAGGGCCACAGCAGAAGCTAAAAGCAAAACCTTGATTCCCAGCATGCTCTGGTCTTGCGGTGATCTCCCCATCCTGCGGTGCTTCGGGGCTCACTTCAGCACTGGAGCACGTGCCCCTGAAGTTCTCTGGTCATGGGTTCGGACTGACTGTGCCAGGATGCGGCGAGCACACAAACTGCCTCGCAATGTCTAGCGCGTCTTGCCTGGATGTGACACCAGCATGATCGGCGCTGTTTACGTGCTGCATGTAGGTGGTGGCCGAAATCTGAGTCAGCGAGTCATACATGCTCGCACAAGGAGTCATGCCCATCTACACCCTGCAAGAGGTTGTGGTGGACGGCAAGCAGGAGCCAGTGGCACATGACTGCTTCAAAAGTGCTGTGCATGTCCACCTTTCGCCAGGCCGTTTGAGAAACCAAGGGGACCAGGGTGGGAGTTGTTAAACCGTTCAGATGCCATGGTGCGAGCACAGACAGATCCTGCATGCACAGTACCGACCCTTAGCAGCAACAAGAAGATTCCTGCACTGATGAGCATGTGCTGACCATGGTGTGATGTTTCATGAAGCTAGGCATGATGTGGGCGAGTGCTCACCCTTCGTCCGGACCTTTTCGCTGGGCTCCACTTGCTTGACCACCATGTGGCTTCAACACAATGGCTGGAGAAAGCAACTTGACACCAACGCACTCCTGTGACACCGTTTGTGTCAGACTGGGTAAGCTTGTGTACGTGTAAGCATTGTGTAGATACTCTGCTGTGTGCAGCCCAGGTCTGCAATGCCATTCGACTGGGTCTTTTCATCTCCCGCAATGGTGACGGACTGCCTGCAAGACGATTTTCGCAGCTTTTTGGATCCTCGCGAGTACCGGCCGTTGGGAAAGCGAGGTGCCCTTCATATTTCATCCATTGAAGGGCCCCAGCTTCCGTGGGTTTGTGCACGAATTTCTCTTCCCGAGAGGTGCGGGTGCCGGCCACGCGCGGTACTCCGACCTGCGGCTTCCTGGGCGGTGGCCTGGCTTCACCTTCCTGCACCACGACCCATCGCGCAAGCGACAGGCGGGACACCATCGGTATGACATGATGTTAGATGGGTTGCCCAGATGCCTTTGTGAAAGTTGACGGCGCCGGCTGTCTTGACATAGTGATAAAGTACCAAAAGCGTGCACGCGTGTGTTTTTTCAGCCGTCAGTGCGCAGTGTATGTGCTGGATCCAGGAATCAGCATCAACAATATCATCTTGCAACCATCTACGTGTATCTCCGAGTTCGTATCGTGCGTGATGGAGTCGGTACTGGTATCAAAAGGTGTCCCACACGGTTCATAATATAGTAAACATGAAGGATGGTAAACTGTCCTGAGCTTATAGTTCCGCACTGACAGGCTTCACCTTTCTGCACCGTGTCGACTACTTGCAATGTGTGCATCTGTGATGTGATTTCGTTTGCAGGGTTCCAGTTTTGTGCTTGGCCACGTGGTACGTCCAAGTCGGACTGGCGCATCCATGGTTTCACACTGGTCGGTCGTGTGCATTGCACACTGACCGGGAATCTGGGAGCCTTTGTGTGGATCGCAGGTGGTCCCTGTCGGCTAGAGCTAGAGCAGCGGACAGTGACCAGCGGCTCTGCCTTGAAAGTGTTCCTGTAGCACACTGAAGGCTTGCAGGGGGCTCCCAGATTTTGCTGTTTCCGTCGGGGCTCGGTGGATGGTGGATTCTCAAAAGGCCGGGGAAGTGAATCTTCGAAGCAACAGTGACTAGACTTAGGTCCATATCACCAGTCCAGAGTGGCAGGTTCATGTGCTATATGTGGCTGACCTGGGCAGTAAGGTGGGGGTTTGCATCTGTTTCGCTCCTGCTTGTACCAAAATCACAACTTCACGGCTTCAATATTTAATGGCTACCGCCAGTGCCGCCGACCCCATCGCGGCAAACGCACCAGGCAGAGAGAGGGAGAGAGGACTAGCTAAAGAATCAGATACACAGAGTTAGACACTAGAGAAAGAGAAAGAGAGAGAAGGCAAGAAAGAGATAGAATTAGGCAGAGAGAGAGAGGAGGCCATGGGGGGGGGAAAGGAAGGGCAGAGGCGGCGGAGAAGGCGGAGGAAAAGGTCCAGGGACCCTTTAAAGTCAGCTGAGAGGGTCCAAAGCCGTGAAGCCATGGGAGCCATGGGGCGGGATGGGACCATGGAGCCATGGGGCCATGAGCCATTGAGGGTGAGAGGCATGGGGCCATGAGGTCATGGGGGGGCAAAGGAAGGGCAGAAGAAGGCGGATGATAAGGTCTGAAGCCGGGCGGGATGGGACCATGGGGCCATGGGACCATGGAGCCATGGAGCGCCATGGAGCGGGAAGGGCGGAGGGGGCGGAAAGGGCGGAAAGAGCGGAGGGGGCGGGGAGGGCGGAGAGGGCTGGCATGCACTGGGACCCTTTAAAGTCAGCTGATAGGGTCCAAAGCCGTGAAGCCATGGGAGCCATGGGGCGGGATGGGACCATGGAGCCATGGGGCCATGAGCCATTAGGAAGGGCAGAGGCGGCGGAGAAGGCGGATGAAAAGGTCCAGACGTGAGGCGTGGGAGAAGCCATGGAGCGCCATGGGGCGGGAAGGGCGGAGGGGGCGGGAACCATATGGAGCGGGCGGAGCGGGAAGGGCAGAGGGGGCGGAAAGAGCGGAAAGGGCGGAGGAGAGACCCTTTAAAGTCAGCTGATAGGGTCCAAAGCCGTGAAGCCATGGGAGCCATGGGGCGGGATGGGACCATGGAGCCATGGGGCCATGAGCCATTAAGGGTGAGAGGCATGGGGCCATGAGGCCATGGGGGGGTAAAGGAAGGGCAGAGGCGGCGGAGAAGGCGGAGGAAAAGGTCCAGGGACATGAGGCCGTGGGAGCCATGGGGCATGGGACCAATGAAGCCAGGAGCGCCATGGGGCGGGAAGGGCGGAGGGGCGGGAACCATATGGGCGGAAAGGGCGGAGGGCTGGGGAGGGCGGGCATGCACTGGGACCCTTTAAAGTCAGCTGAGAGGGTGCCATGGGAGCCATGGGGCGGGATGGGACCATGGAGCCATGGGGCCATGAGCCATTGAGGGTGAGAGGCATGGGGCCATGAGGTCATGGGGGGGCAAAGGAAGGGCAGAGGCGGCGGAGAAGGCGGATGATAAGGTCTGAAGCCGGGCGGGATGGGACCATGGGGCCATGGGACCATGGAGCCATGGAGCGCCATGGAGCGGGAAAAGCGAAGGGCGGAAAGGGCGGAAAGAGCGGAGGGGGCGGGGAGGGCGGAGAGGACGGGCATGCACTGGGACCCTTTAAAGTCAGCTGATAGGGTCCAAAGCCGTGAAGCCATGGGAGCCATGGGGCGGGATGGGACCATGGAGCCATGGGGCCATGAGCCATTAGGAAGGGCAGAGGCGGCGGAGAAGGCGGATGAAAAGGTCCAGACGTGAGGCGTGGGAGAAGCCATGGAGCGCCGTGGGGCGGGAAGGGCGGAGGGGGCGGGAACCATATGGAGCGCCGTGGAGCGGGAAGGGCGGATGGGGCGGAGCGGGAAGGGCGGAGGGGGCGGAAAGGGCGGAGGGGGCGGGGAGGGCGGAGAGGGCGGGCAGGCACTGGGACCCTTTAAAGTCAGCTGATAGGGTCCAAAGCCGTGAAGCCATGGCATGAGCCATTAAGGGTGAGAGGCATGGGGCCATGAGGCCATGGGGGGGTAAAGGAAGGGCAGAGGCGGCGGAGAAGGCGGAGGAAAAGGTCCAGGGACATGAGGCCGTGGGAGCCATGGGGCATGGGACCAATGAAGCCAGGAGCGCCATGGGGCGGGAAGGGCGGAGGGGGAGGGGCGGAAAGGGCGGAAAGGGCGGAGGGGCGGAGGGCGGAGAGGGCGGGCATGCACTGGGACCCTTTAAAGTCAGCTGAGAGGGTGCCATGGGAGCCATGGGGCGGGATGGGACCATGGAGCCATGGGGCCATGAGCCATTGAGGGTGAGAGGCATGGGGCCATGAGGTCATGGGGGGGCAAAGGAAGGGCAGAGGCGGCGGAGAAGGCGATGATAAGGTCTGAAGCCGGGCGGGATGGGACCATGGGGCCATGGGACCATGGAGCGCCATGGAGCGGGAAGGGCGGAGGGGGCGGAAAGGGCGAAAGAGCGGAGGGGGCGGGGAGGGCGGAGAGGGCGGGCATGCACTGGGACCCTAAAGTCAGCTGATAGGGTCCAAAGCCGTGAAGCCATGGGAGCCATGGGGCGGGATGGGACCATGGAGCCATGGGGCCATGAGCCATTAGGAAGGGCAGAGGCGGCGGAGAAGGCGGATGAAAAGGTCCAGACGTGAGGGTGGGAGAAGCCATGGAGCGCCATGGGGCGGGAAGGGCGGAGGGGGCGGGAACCATATGGAGCGCCATGGAGCGGGAAGGGCGGATGGGGCGGAGCGGGAAGGGCAGAGGGGGCGGAAAGGGCGGAGGGGGCGGGGAGGGCGGAGAGGGCGGGCAGGCACTGGGACCCTTTAAAGTCAGCTGATAGGGTCCAAAGCCGTGAAGCCATGGCATGAGCCATTAAGGGTGAGAGGCATGGGGCCATGAGGCCATGGGGGGGTAAAGGAAGGGCAGAGGCGGCGGAGAAGGCGGAGGAAAAGGTCCAGGGACCCTTTAAAGTCAGCTGAGAGGGTGCCATGGGAGCCATGGGGCCATGAGCCATTAGGAAGGGCAGAGGCAGCGGAGAAGGCGGATGAAAAGGTCCAGACGTGAGGCGTGGGAGAAGCCATGGAGCGCCATGGGGCGGGAAGGGCGGAGGGGGCGGGAACCATATGGAGCGCCATGGAGCGGGAAGGGCGGATGGGGCGGAGCGGGAAGGGCGGAGGGAGCGGAAAGGGCGGAGGGGGCGGGGAGGGCGGAGAGGGCGGGCATGCACTGGGACCCTTTAAAGTCAGCTGAGAGGGTCCAAAGCCGTGAAGCCATGGGAGCCATGGGGCGGGATGGGACCATGGAGCCATGGGGCCAAAGGGACCCATAGGCAGGGGGTATGTGGGGGTGGGAGTCGGGGTGGGGGTGAGGAGGGTCGGCATGGGGCCATGAGGCCATGGGGGGCAAGGAAGGGCAGAGGCAGCGGAGAAGGCGGATGATAAGGTCTGAAGCCGGGCGGGATGGGACCATGGGGCCATGGGACCATGGAGCCATGGAGCGCCATGGAGCGGGAAGGGTGGAGGGGGCAGAAAGGGCGGAAAGGGCGGAGGGGGCGGTGGGGGGGCAAAGGAAGGGCAGAGGCGGCGGAGAAGGCGGATGATAAGGTCTGAAGCCGGGCGGGATGGGACCATGGGGCCATGGGACCATGGAGCCATGGAGCGCCATGGAGCGGGAAGGGCGGAGGGGGCGGAAAGGGCGGAAAGAGCGGAGGGGGCGGGAGGGCGGAGAGGGCGGGCATGCACTGGGACCCTTTAAAGTCAGCTGATAGGGTCCAAGGGTCCAAAGCCGTGAAGCCATGGCATGAGCCATTAAGGGTGAGAGGCATGGGGCCATGAGGCCATGGGGGGGTAAAGGAAGGGCAGAGGTGGCGGAGAAGGCGGACAGGAACCCTTTAAAGTCAGCTGAGAGGGTGCCATGGGAGCCATGGGGCGGGATGGGACCATGGAGCCATGGGGCCATGAGCCATTGAGGGTGAGAGGCATGGGGCCATGAGGTCATGGGGGGGCAAAGGAAGGGCAGAGGCGGCGGAGAAGGCGGATGATAAGGTCTGCAGCCGGGACCATGGGGCCATGGGACCATGGAGCCATGGAGCGCCATGGAGCGGGAAGGGCGGAGGGGGCGGAAGAGGGCGGGCATGCACTGGGACCCTTTAAAGTCAGCTGAGAGGGTCCAAAGCCGTGAAGCCATGGGAGCCATGGGGCGGGATGGGACCATGGAGCCATGGGGCCAAAGGGACCCGTAGGCAGGGGGTATGTGGGGGTGGGAGTCGGGGTCAGGGTGAGGAGGGTACATGAGGCCATGAAAGGGGCGGGATGGGACCATGGGGCCATGGGACCATGGAGCCATGGAGCGCCATGGAGCGGGAAGGGCGGAGGGGGCAGAAAGGGCGGAAAGGGCGGAGCGGATGATCAGGTCTGAAGCCGGGCGGGGCGGGGTGGGAGCATGGGGCCATGGGACCATGGAGCGCCATGGAGCGGGAAGGGCGGAGGGGGAGGGGGCGGAAAGAGCGGAAAGGGCGGAGGGGGCGGGGAGGGTGGAGAGGGCGGGCATGCACTGGGACCCTTTAAAGTCAGCTGATAGGGTCCAAAGCCGTGAAGCCATGGGAGCCATGGGGCGGGATGGGACCATGGAGCCATGGGGCCATGAGCCATTAGGAAGGGCAGAGGCGGCGGAGAAGGCGGATGAAAAGGTCCAGACGTGAGGCGTGGGAGAAGCCATGGAGCGCCATGGGGCGGGAAGGGCGGAGGGGGCGGGAACCATAGGGAGCGCCATGGAGCGGGAAGGGCGGATGGGGCGGAGCGGGAAGGGCGGAGAGGGCGGAGGGGGCGGGGAGGCGGAGAGGGCGGGCAGGCGCTGGGACCCTTTAAAGTCAGCTGATAGGGTCCAAAGCCGTGAAGCCATGGCATGAGCCACTAAGGGTGAGAGGCATGGGGCCATGATGGGGCCATGAGCCATTGAGGGTGAGAGGCATGGGGCCATGAGGTCATGGGGGGGCAAAGGAAGGGCAGAGGCGGCGGAGAAGGCGGATGATAAGGTCTGAAGCCGGGCGGGATGGGACCATGGCATGCGCTGGGACCCTTTAAAGTCAGCTGAGAGGGTGCCATGGGAGCCGTGGGGCGGGATGGGGCCATGGAGCCATGGGGCCAGAGCCCCTAGAGCGGACAAAAATGGGTCGGCCAAAGTTTTTGGAGCGGACAAAAATGGGCATGGGGCCATGAGGCCGAGGCGGCGGAGAAGGCGGAGGAAAAGGTCCAGGGACATGAGGCCGTGGGAGCCATGGGGCATGGGACCAATGAAGCCAGGAGCGCCATGGAGCGGGAAGGGCGGAGGGGGAGGGGGCAGAAAGAGCGGAAACGGGGAGGGCGGAGAGGGCGGGCATGCACTGGGACCCTTTAAAGTCAGCTGAGAGGGTGCCATGGGGAAAGGGCGGAAAGAGCGGAGGGGGCGGGGAGGGCGGAGAGGGCGGGCATGCACTGGGACCCTTTAAAGTCAGCTGATAGGGTCCAAAGCCGTGAAGCCATGGGAGCCCTGGGACCATGGAGCCATGGGGCCATGAGCCATTAGGAAGGGCAGAGGCGGCGGAGAAGGCGGATGAAAAGGTCCAGACGTGAGGCGGGAGAAGCCATGGAGCGCCATGGGGCGGGAAGGGCGGAGGGGGCGGGAACCATATGGAGCGCCATGGATCGGGAAGGGCGGATGGGGCGGAGCGGGAAGGGCGGAGGGGGCGGAAAGGGCGGAGGGGGCGGGGAGGGCGGAGCACTGGGACCCTTTAAAGTCAGCTGATAGGGTCCAAAGCCGTGAAGCCATGGCATGAGCCATTAAGGGTGAGAGGCATGGGGCCATGAGGCCATGGGGGGGTAAAGGAAGGGCAGAGGCGGCGGAGAAGGCGGAGGAAAAGGTCCAGGGACCCTTTAAAGTCAGCTGAGAGGGTGCCATGGGAGCCATGGGGCGGGATGGGACCATGGAGCCATGGGGCCATGAGCCATTGAGGGTGAGAGGCATGGGGCCATGAGGTCATGGGGGGGCAAAGGAAGGGCAGAGGCGGCGGAGAAGGCGGATGATAAGGTCTGAAGCCGGGCGGGATGGGACCATGGGGCCATGGGACCATGGAGCCATGGAGCGCCATGGAGCGGGAAAAGCGAAGGGCGGAAAGGGCGGAAAGAGCGGAGGGGGCGGGGAGGGCGGAGAGGACGGGCATGCACTGGGACCCTTTAAAGTCAGCTGATAGGGTCCAAAGCCGTGAAGCCATGGGAGCCATGGGGCGGGATGGGACCATGGAGCCATGGGGCCATGAGCCATTAGGAAGGGCAGAGGCGGCGGAGAAGGCGGATGAAAAGGTCCAGACGTGAGGCGTGGGAGAAGCCATGGAGCGCCGTGGGGCGGGAAGGGCGGAGGGGGCGGGAACCATATGGAGCGCCGTGGAGCGGGAAGGGCGGATGGGGCGGAGCGGGAAGGGCGGAGGGGGCGGAAAGGGCGGAGGGGGCGGGGAGGGCGGAGAGGGCGGGCAGGCACTGGGACCCTTTAAAGTCAGCTGATAGGGTCCAAAGCCGTGAAGCCATGGCATGAGCCATTAAGGGTGAGAGGCATGGGGCCATGAGGCCGAGGCGGCGGAGAAGGCGGAGGAAAAGGTCCAGGGACATGAGGCCGTGGGAGCCATGGGGCATGGGACCAATGAAGCCAGGAGCGCCATGGAGCGGGAAGGGCGGAGGGGGAGGGGGCGGAAAGGGCGGAAAGGGCGGAGGGGCAGGGAGGGCGGAGAGGGCGGGCATGCACTGGGACCCTTTAAAGTCAGCTGAGAGGGTGCCATGGGAGCCATGGGACCATGGAGCCATGGGGCCAGAGCCCCTAGAGCGGACAAAAATGGGTCTGGCCAAAGCCCCTAGAGCGGACAAAAATGGGCATGGGGCCATGAGGCCGAGGCGGCGGAGAAGGCGGAGGAAAAGGTCCAGGGACATGAGGCCGTGGGAGCCATGGGGCATGGGACCAATGAAGCCAGGAGCGCCATGGAGCGGGAAGGGCGGAGGGGGAGGGGGCGGAAAGGGCGGAAAGGGCGGAGGGGCGGGGAGGGCGGAGAGGGCGGGCATGCACTGGGACCCTTTAAAGTCAGCTGAGAGGGTGCCATGGGAGCCATGGGGCGGGATGGGACCATGGAGCCATGGGGCCAAAGCCCCTAGAGCGGACAAAAATGGGTCTGGCCAAAGCCCCTAGAGCGGACAAAAATGGGTCTTCACTGACGCCGCCCCGCTGCTGCTGGGGTCGGCGGATCTGAGCGCACGTATGTGTGTGTGGCAGCGATTGCAGCTTGACTACGATTCATTGGGATAGGAGGTTTGTACCCTGGGCTCTAGTAACTCTAGTAGCTCTGGAATTGGCAACTTTCAGTTCTAAGCTCACGGAGTGCTGCCAGGACCAGGACTATCTCAATCGCTGTGTCCGGAGATTTCGGCATGCTGCTCGATCTCCAGGACGCAAGCTCTTTGTTGCTTCTTGTCTGGTGGATTGCAAGGAGAGCCTGGAAATTTTGAGGAAAGGTTTACCAGCGAGTCTGTCAGAGAATGGAAAAACAGCCAGCTTTACCAACTTTTCGACAGATGAAGTTCAGAAGCTGCACAAAGCGCTGGTGGATTTTGGCGTCTCGGACTTTAAGTTGGTGGGAGTCGTGCTGTGTGTTGGCTCGGCATGCTCGGCCTCGGCTGCAGAGATCATCTCTGTGCCTTTGGGTCCCCAGTGTTCATCGTGTTCATCGTGTTCAGTGTGTGAGATGTATGAAGTCCATTTGCCCACGGTAGATGCAGATCCATTGAAGTTCTTCGAGGACCCGATCAAGAATGAGCTGTTCTCTGGGGCTGTGCTGGGTGGGACTCAAGTCTGCTGTGAGAAAGATGACCTTGAGTTGGACAACTACGTGCCACATGGCTACCGCGATGCTGGAGTCACAAGCCATATGCAGCAGCCCGACAAAACTGTTCATTGCCGCTGGTGCAAAGAAACCTTTGAAAGTCGTAACAAGCTATTCGAACACTTGCGCAGTTCGGGCGAGTGCATTCGGCAGATGTCACAGGTCGACACAGCAGGACTTGAATCGATCTCGGCACGTGGGAAGGACCAGCTTCATGCCTTTTTATGGGGGAGCCTGATGCCTTGGTCGAAGTCGATCCGGGCCTGGAAGGAGGCCCTCGCCTCTTTGGGTGGTGAAGTTCAGGAGGTGGATTGCTCAGATTTCTCCTGCCCCTCCGTTGGAGGAGTGTTGATTGCAAATTTTTCTTGTGCACTTGCTGGAGAAGCGTTGATGGAACGTTTGAGGGCCAAGGTGCAGGAAATGCCGTCCACGACGCTGCATGCAGCAGTAAATCTCAGAAAGTCTCAGCTTCTTGATTTACACAGCACAAAGAAACAGCGGCATTTCGCCTACCTCTTGGATGTGGACACTGTTTCAATGGGGAAGGGCAGCATGGTTTCGGAGGAGGACTTCGGAGAGTTGCGTTCGACTCTCAGACTGCTGAAGCAGGCCATCCAGAGGACTAAATTCTTGCTGGAGAGCCGCGCAGATCATGCAGGAGTTGAGATGAAGCTGGTACAAAGGCTCTGCCTTAATGGAAGGATGTACGTGCTTGTACGTATTTCGGGGGACTCGCTGACTGAACAGGGTTGTTGTGTCTACATGGCAGCTGCGCTGGCCTCGTTTCACGGCTGGTTGCAGTGTTTGGTGCAGGAGACTTTCAGCCACATACCTGGCTTGCCTCCAGATTTTCTGTATCTGGAGGGTTACCGCTTCATGCAGCACGAAAAGCGGAATGGTCCTCTTTTTGGGAAGGGCTGCCTGCCCTGGGCTACAGAGACAGCCTGTGGTATTGTAGAATGGAGAGCCAGACTGCAAGAACATGTGGTAAGGACTTCCAGGACAAATTGGGCTCAGGTTCTAGAACAGCTGCGTACCGCATGCAAATCGCAGGATATGGAACAAAATGGAGCTGAACCTTGCAGTTTGCATGCTTCTGCCCTCATGGGGGGCTAGACAGATGCACCGCGAAACGATACGAAACGCCTCTTCAACAACATGTTTCTTTCGCAACTTTGGCAGTGATTTGGGTTTTTGGACTCAGCCCAACTTCTAGGGTTTGGGGGCTTCTTCTGCCCAACATCACATCTAGGCCTTGGGTCCGTATGCCCAACATTACTTCAGGGATTAGGGCTTCCCTTGGGTTTGTGGTTTCTTGCGGTTTTGGGGCTTAGGGATTTTAGGTTTCGAGGCTCCTTCAGCCTCATATCACTTTAGGGTTAAGGGCTCCTTATGCCCAGCATCACTTTTGGGGCGAAGGGTTTGAAGGCCATCTCGGGCCCAACATCACTTCTGTCTTGGAGGCCGACGCTTCCAACACTACGTGCTTGCGCAGCTTCCTGGCGTGTGCCCATGCAACATAGACCCGGAAACATGGGCGATGAAACACCCGCTTTGACGACCGTCATGAAAAAGCACGCCTGTGCAAGCTGCTAAGAAATATGGCGTGGGCCTACGGGCACGACCGGCACACGCTAAAACGACTCCGCTCCGTTGGTGCGTTACTCCTCAGCTCTTGGGGCTTGGGGTTGTTAGGGTTTGAGTTTTAAAGTTTTGGTTTTTAATTAGGGTAGTTTAGTGATGTTTAGAATGTAGAATGTGGGGTTTAGGGTCGGCACAACGGTGCATCGGCACATCGGTGTAACACCTGTCATGGCACTACATAGATATAGCTACACATATGTATATATCAAAACATACATGTATGTGCACAGACAGATGTTTATATGTATACATGCATATATGTATACACAAAAAATCACATATGCACATGGCTGATGGGGGCCAATCCTGAGCAACTGTTTTAGGGTGTCCCCAATGGGCCAGAACTATTTCATGTAACGCAGTTGGATGCATGTAGATGAATACGCAGTTGGATGCATGTAGACAGTATGTGTTGTCATAGACATGCTGATGTATTCATAAAAAAGAAATAAGTATGTATGTATGTATGTAGAGAGAGGGCCTTATCCACAACTAGGTCGTATATATATGTATATATATATATATATGATCATATAGATAGATAGATGGATGGATAGATAGATATGTGTGTGTGTGTGTGTGTGTCCGGTTAATACCAGGATGGCAAGTCCATCTTTCGAGTTCCCGACCATGTGGAGCTTGTGAAAAAGGTTGGCTGCACACTCAGTTTTCATTGCAATTTGGCTTTTTCCAGCCGTCTTTGGTACCTTAGAGTTGTTGTTGGCAAGTGTCGCTCAGGTTCTGGGGCTTATGGCTGTGTCGCCTCGTTCCAGGCAGTACTTTTCCTTCACTGTGCGTGTTTTGCAAGTCGGAATTCGGGGCCTGGACAGTGCAGTGTCGTGCAGGACAAGAAGACAGGCGAAAAGTTTGCTGCCCGCACCTTGAGATGGCAGCAGGTTGAGCAATCGTCTTCAGACTTGACATCCGACTTGAAGCACGGTGTCTACGAGGTGAAGAAAATCACGAATGCCTTCAATGATCTGGTTCCTTCCTGAGTGTGCTGCTCGCTACGTAAGATTGCTTTTGCATCAACTGCCGCAAGGTTGATGGTAAACGAATACTGCGTGAGGCTGGGCGTGTAGCACCAGAGCGCAGTGTCCATCATTGTTTTAGAGCCCTTAGCAGGTGAAGCTCCTGAGGCAGCTGGATCACGTGTGAACCCTTGAGGCTTTCTGTGTGCCCCGCATATTTCAGTTGCACTTGCAACTGAGGACAACATTATCCGAATCATGGACATGTATCCTCCGCCTGGCCCGGATTTCGAGGTGTCCAATGCAACTGAGTTGACTTGAAATGCTTGCAATGCGCAGCTCCCATCACCCTCGCCACCCTCTCCCACCCACCGAAGGATATCTACATCGTCACAGATCTCATGGAGACAGTCCTCAGGCTGCACTGGACCCCTGCAGATTCCATATTTGCCCAGATGTACGTACCTTCGTGCTGGCAGCTCAACGTACGGTGGCAACTGAGGATCTGCATAGAGTGATCTACTCCAAGCAGCCTTTGACGGAGGATGGCACTGCGACCACACATGTGTTTGGATCAGCTCGGCTGACTGCGGGTGGCAGGAGCACCACCAGTACTTTCTTCATCAGATACTCCGTGGACTGGGCCATAGTTGATGCTGGGTTGACTTCGACGGAATGCACGGCGCCGCTGCAAGGGGGTGTGGCGCAGTTTCTGCAATGTTCAGGCAGAACAAGCTCTAGCAGTCATGGCCGAGGTTTGGCCTATCTTCACAGCGCACACATTGTGCCGCAACCCTAGCACAAGTCAAAGCGCATGAGTTGAAGTTACTCACTTCCGGCAGGCATCGCGACATCAAGCCTTCGAATCTTTTGGTGTGGGACTCAGTGCTGTGCGAATCATGTGCTCTTCAAGAAGACGACTCCATTCCCTGCGGTTGTCTTGTACCTGCAGCTCTCGGGAGACAGAGGAAACTTCTGGAGCACGGTGACAAAGCAAGGACGACAACGAAATGGACAGCAATGGGCACTCACAGACCAAAATTCGAACAGCTGCTCTCAACACTTTGGACTGACTGCTGGGATACGGAAGCAGTTTGAGACACCAGAGAGAACACTTCAAGCAAGAACAGCTGCGATGCCTGTGCAACGACCTGAGGGCTAAAATCGCACATGACTTTTTGCTCAACGGAATCAGAGCGTCACGATGACCTTGCCAGCTGCCCACATAGAAGGGTTTCCGCAGGAGTGTCAGAGTGTTGTCGTGCTCTCCGTTCTCTCCGCTCCTGTGCTTTGCACTTTTTTTTGGCACTCCTCTCATAAATCTTGGTATCGCACCAATACCTTCATCGCAGCCGACCGCCGCTTGTAAGAGCTGGTGTCCTCATCTTCGCGTCGGCAACTCTACGAGGGGCCGCTTCGAGCGCGACGTTTGAGGCGGCGATGGTTGCTGCTAGCTGTGCCTCCGGGCGGCAGGAATTGACCTCCTCGTCAGTGTTTTTGTTGTGGTGGCCCTCACTTGAGGGGCATGACGTTCGAGGCGGCCGCTGCAGGCGCAAGTCATGGCTCGCGAGATAGCCCAGCCAAGTGGCTTCCGCATGACGTTTGCATGGTTGGTGAGGGCGGTGCACCCCTGCTGCCAGTGTTGGATGGTGCGAGGAGGTGAGTGCGATTGTGCGGGGAAGTTGGATTTCGTGGCTGACATTGGCTTGGTAGTACGTCAGTAGAATGCATGCCGCCTTGTTGTCAAATCTTGGTCGCCATGTACAGCTGTTTCTCACTTCGTTGCAGAATGGGAGTCGGTGTACAGTACATGTTCTGGAGCTGGGGGTACAGATAGTTCCGGCGACTGGACAGCGGTGGAGAGCATTTCGGTCGTCGGGACGCTGGAAGTCACTTGCCATTTTGGGTGACGAGCGGAGATGCTGTTCGTGTTGGAATTCCTGGTGTCCTGACGTCTGTTGTGCATCGCTACGGAGTGCTCGGAGTGGTGCCGCGATGCCAAAACGAATGCGCCAAGCGCTGTTCGCATGGAAGGAAGCTGTGGAACTGAGCTGACTTGGGTGGTGCCAGGCTGCACCACGTTGTGCCTGTGCACACATCTGGCATGTCACCGTGTTATGTGTACCGACACACTTCATTTCCTGTTTGTGTGGCCTCTGGCGCTTCGATGAGGTCAACAAGAACTGCGACCTGAAGATTTGCGACTTCGGCCTGGCGCGCGTTTGGGGCCCTGGAGTGGGTGGGGGGATGTGTCATGCTCACGTTCAAAGCGTCTGCACATGTTCCATGGCCGATTGGAAGATGTTTTCCAGAGCTGACACTGCGGGAGGTCCTGGCCACAGATGCGGAGGACACCATGGGGCGCACGGACTACGTAGTCACACGCTGGTACCGCGCACCTGAGGCACCTTCTTTCGCTATCATGTCAAAATCTTAATGGCTGTCTGAATTCCCGAGCTGCTCCGATTGTGCAGGTCATGCTGGTGTCCTCTGAGTACACTGTTGCAATTGATGTTTGGGTTCCGGCCCCACAAGCTTCGGGCCTTCGATCACAACATTACACTAAGTTTGACTCTTCACAAACTGGTCAGGCTGTGGGCTGCATTCTCTTCGAGCTGATCTCACGTAAACCCTTATTTGCAGGTCAGCTGGCATGCCGACATGCTTGAGGTGTTTTCTTCGCTCGTCAATGAAGAATCTAACAGTTAAAGAGAGCTCAATTTTGAGTAGCTTTGAATGAAATTGAATAGCCGTAAATGCATTCATTGTTGCTAGTGAATTGTCAAATGTATGCAGCCTTTGGGCGGCTCGGGCATCAAGTGAAAGGTTCATGATTTCCTCAGTTTCCCGGGTGGTCGTTGGCTTTTGCTGGTTGGGCTCATTGTTCAGGAGGGACTTGAAACAGGACCTTGATGAACAGCATTGAACAGCCAAGACCTTTTGCAACCCCAATTCCTGCAAGTGTTCGAAAGCTTCGCCGCTGCAGATGAAGTGGCATTTTAAGCGCAGGGCAGCGCTTCATACTAGCCTTGAATGTTGTAAGACCAAAGGCCTTCCAGTCTCAGGCCAAAGTCGCAGCTGCCTGGATTTAACGTCTCAATCTGCATTGGCAAGAACCATACATGAACGAACGAAGAAAGAGAAGGGCCTCCCTCGAAAAGTGAGATTCACGTGTAGCAAAGCTAGTAATATAGAATTGCGAAAGGTCATGCTGCTTTAACAACTTCAAAGCTTCCATAGGTTACCAATCTCGACAATCCTAGTGTTACATTTGTCAACAAGCCCTGGCCTGAATCTTGAAGCGTGAAAGCTTCCTTTGCCTTGTAGTAGGCCGGGGCGGCACCCTTTCGCGTCAGCACTCAAAACTGACAGTTCCTCCATGTTTTCCTGACCAACACTCGAACTTTGATGTCATCTTGTTCGCTTTCATACGGGTCTTCCAACCTTAAGGCAGCAAGCGCCTTGACTAGTTCACTTTCAGCGGAGGCAAGGATCACGTAGACCAGTTGCGGAAGATCATCAGCACCCTCGGAACACCATCAGAGGCTCAGTGGGGCGCCGAAGTGTAAAACTCTTGTCAGTTGTTGTGGGTGCAGCGATCTGAAGGCGGAAACCCAGTGGTTGCCTGAAGGGGGCACAGCTCGCTCGTTTCTGGTGAAATGCGCTCCAGCACCGAAGGCAGCTTTCCCTCTCTTAACAGTGTTTTCTGAAGATACTCTTTCATCCTTCGTTTTGCTTTGACCGATCAAGTCCCTTCTTGTGCTCATCCACACGAAGTCTTCAGGTAGACTGGAAGGGCCTGCTGCCCACAGCGAGCGACAATGCCATTGAGGAGCATCTTCATATCGTTTCATATCGAGGCACTCACGGCAACGTGAGCTTGCCGCAGGTCGTTTCCAAGACCGTGACCTTCGACCCTACAACACGCATCAGTGTTCCAGACACATTGCGTCTTAAGCTGGGGCCTCGGAGACACTAAGCCCAACCTTACTGTAGCTGCCAACTGACTGGCACCCTCAGTGGATTGACATGTTAACTGGGCTCGAAGGGAGCCCGGACCGTAGCAAGTTGTATCAAAACATCAAACATTTTCATCTGCCAACTGGGAGTGAGATGACCATGCAGTTTGTTTTTGGGTTTCTGGGCTTCTCTCCCTCGTTCGATGTACTTCCCTACAGACTTACTGTCGGGGAGTTCTGAGAATCGAGGTATCTGGATCACCTCTTCGATGAAGAAGATATGGTTCTAGACACCTGCTGAGAGCTGAGCTCGAGAAGTCGGTCTGGGCTCCGTGTGGATTGCTATAGGAGTGCTTAGCAGTGCCACTCTGGCAAGGCACCGCCAAGATCGACTGGTCCTTCGACAACTTCGAGCCGACCAAACCAGTGCGCAGTCCGCAGTGGTGTTTGCCGTGGTGTCTGGGGCAGTGGTTGTTTACATTTTGCACATACGCAGTGAAACATCGAGCAACATGCCTGGGTGCCGTTCTGTGCAGCTCCTCCAAAGCTACATCTACTGCGAGCTGGCAAGTTTTCACCCGGAGATAGTCGAGCGGGACAGAGATCTGCCGGGGAGCCAAGCCTTGCGTATATTGGAGAAAGAAGCAGCTTTGAGACACATTGTGAGAGGCACCGTTTCTTTGTGCGAAACTGGAGAGCTGGCTCCAGGCTCGTGGCTCGTGGTATCGACAAGCTGTTGGATGTTTCGAAGGCGCTACCCAAGGCAGTGGGTTCGTGTATGCTGGTCTCCTCCATCGCTTCACATTTCTTCACCTCTCATTCACACGCAAGTCGCACGTCATTCACATGTTGACATGATTCTGCTTGCGTTCTGCCAGGCTGATGACAAAAAGTCGTTGTGATGTTTCACTGGAGTTGGTGTAGGGGGAAGTCAGATGCCATTTCTCGTTCACCTCTCTACTGATTAGACTCCTGATGTGCTGTGCTGAGACAGACGACCATGCAGTAGGCTGACTTCCCTGCATCTCTAGGTCCGTTCGGAGCTGTACTTGGCTTGCGGTCCAAAAGAATTCCAAGCGAGTGCTGTGCGGAGGGCGCAAGATTTGCGTAGGCCGAGATATGTTTTCAAGATTTTGCAAGAAAGAGCAAACCGGAGGAGCAAGCTGCATCGAGCCCGCGTAAGGCAGGAAGATCGGAGCCCTCAAGCAGCAACCACCGCAACCAACGCAACCACCGCAGCCATTGCAACTAGCGCAACTGCCGCAACAACCACACAACAGCTACAACTTTGAATTCTTTCTGCCACATGATCCGCGCAACGCAAGCTTTTGCATGTTGCAATCACGCGAGTCTCCCGAATCGGCAGCCTGGCAGCGAGAGCCGTGGCCAGCTCGTTCGCGATGCAAGCTCGTCTGGTTGGACGGCCCACCGGATGAGCGCATCTTTACCCGATAGGATGGAGAACTCGATCAGGGTGAGCAAAGCTCAATCCAACCAGCGGCAGGAAGCGAGGACGGCAGACATTTGGATCGGGTGGCACGTCGCCTGCAAATAGGCGGCGCATTCGACTCGGTGGCCTGTTGGGTACGGGCGGCTAGGGCTACTGCGGGCCTGACCGGATGGCGCTGTTGAAGACCGGCCGCGGTGCGGAGCGGAAGTTAAAGCGTCTGGTGGCGCAGGAGGCGCTGCGAGCACATCACCAGGCAAAGACACGAACCAAGTATAAACACGATGATTCAACTGGCGACCATAGCAGGCTAGACTGGCAAGGTTTGAGTTGTCGACCATGTGCATCGTGCGCACACCGCCATAGTACGCGTACAAGATCTTCCATTTGCATCGAGCAGTGCCGGAGCCGGTACACAGAGTGGTAAAGGTAGAACGGTAGGAAGTAGAAGCTCGTAACAGGAACAAAGCATCGAAAGCGACCGGATAGGCTCACTGTCTATGTTTTTGCAAAGCTACCACACAGGATAGCGCAATTGCGCGTGAGAGCAGTCAAGTAGGTAATGTATGGAGCACGATGCGACGTTGAGTTTGGGCGGCGTGCGCGAATGCGCCACACCTTTAAATGGCGTGGAGGGTCCCGAGGGTCCTTCAACTTTCGGGGCTGTCATCGGGGCAACGACGGCGGAGCCGTGGCCTTGGAATCTGGCTCCACGTGTGTCACGTGCCCGGGAGCGTGCCGTGTTAGCATTGCCTACGAAGGGCCACAGCATCCATGCCCGCGCGATGATATCGAGTCCGGAAGAACGCGTGCGTGAAGGCATCAAAGCGGAAGGTTGCTTGTGCGCGCGGGGACAGCCTTTCTGAGAGTCGCATCAGCGGCGTGAAGAATGAGCGTCGTAGAGCTTCATGTTCTTTTGTTCATGAACAATGGTTTTTATGAAGGCAGGGGCCACATGATCGGGAAACCTGCCAGCAGGGAAGGTCTCTGGAATTTTAGACGTTTCGCGTCTCGGTGGAGATGTGAAGAAGTGAAGACGTGAAGAAGACGTGAATACGAGTTTTGTCAACGCGAAGTCGCGGAGGCCTGACTTTCCATGCAAAGATGTGAGAACACGACGACGCCGCGGCGTCATCGTCGTCAACGGTTTCAGCGGCGTCAGACCGTTTCAACGTTTTCAACGGCTTCACGGATTTAGCGGCTTCAACGATCTCACTTGTGCCAACGGAGTAAGCCAAATCACGGTGTCAACGGCATCAGCTGCCGCCGCCTTGACGCGATGTGTTCATCATGTGTGTGCTGTGCTGTAATCAACCAGACTGCATCAAACTGCTTGGGCCCTTTCCTCCTTGACCGTTATGACGGGCTGATCCCATGCCCCTTCCTCAGGGCTGCCTAACTTTCAGAAATGTGATAAGGCCCACAAACCCGCATGCAGACGGCGCGTCATGTATACAGTCGCGATGCGCGACGCGAGATCCGAAAAGATGTTTTTCATCCATATCTCTATTTCTTTCTGCATCTCCCTCCCCCTCCCTCCCTCTCTCTCTCTCTCTCCCTCCCTTTCCCTCTCCCTCTCCCTCTCCCTCTCCCTCCTCCCTCCTCCCCTCTCCCCTCTCCCTCCTCC